CTCTGCCATGATTAGGTAGTCTGTGGTGTGCTGAATTCAGTACTGGGTGCCACATTTTAGGAAGGACGCCAGTTCACTAGCTCTTAGGGGTTCAGTGATCATCTCTTTGCAAACTAGTCACACATACCCCCATCCAGTCCCAATCTCTCCCCAGCCCTACATCACTAGCTGCTTTCTGCACATCCTTGCTCGGATATCGTATTGGAATCTCCAGTATAATATGTCCAAGCTAGAACTCGTGATGCCTAATTTGGTGATTTCCCAAAGTTCCATATCTTGTTTGCTTGCTGCTCTCACATCTCTGAGGTCAAGCACTTGCTATTCTTTCCTCCAAGAAACTGGGTCCTGAATCTCAGCATCGACCAGGAAATCTTCTGTTAACACTCCATCTCTGCCTCTTTCCCTGCCTCCACTTTGGGAGAAAAGGGTTCCTGAGTGGGGAACAGAATGGGAGGGGGGGGGACACTGCCAGGATGTACAGGTTTCAAGAAGCTACTGTGTGTATGTATTAGCTTTGCCTTGGTTGTCTGGCCTATTTGCTCACTCAGATCCACAATAGCTATATATCAAGGAATCAGCAATGAGGATACTACGCCTTGCACACGGAGCTATCTTCAAAAGCTGAATAAAGCCCTTATTGAGACAGGGCTCCCTCCTCTCTACCACTGTACCCATGGGATATATTTTCACTCCCCCACCCTTGCACTGGTCCAGGAGAGTTAGAATATTCCCCTCCCCATTGCCACTTCCAGACTCTACCTTTACCACTATTGCTCAGCAACTTGTTTTTCTTTGAAGTACACAGTATCCACCTTTTCCACCCAATTCAGATTATGGTGGCTGTTGTATAGCAGCCACTAGATCATTCTTCCTCTTTTCTTTCTTTTTTAACATGTAATTTTAAATTTAAATGCCTTCTCATTTACATGTAAATTTTTTTAACTTAAATTTTTTTTGAGTTCCAAATTCTTTCCCACCATCCCTCCCTCCCCTTCCTCCTTCTTTAGAAGACAAGCAAATCAATAGATTTCTACATGTGCAGTCATGCAATCTTCCCTCCTTCTCAAAGAATTCAGTACTTGACTCATCGTCTTACTCTCCCCCCAATTTCTGCTCTTATGATAGGGGATTTCCATGTCCATGTTAATGCTCCTTCAAATTCCCCTAGCTTCTGAATTCCTCAGTCTCCTTAAGTCTCATGACTTACTCCTTTAATCTACTTTTCACCTTTATACTACTGGCTTTTACCATCATGCAGAAGTTTTTCACTTCCTTGATTAAAAACTCTACCATCCCCTTATCTTATTGTACTGTCCTTGATAATTCCATTTCTCCCTATGCCCATCGAGATGTTCAATCCCTCTCTTCCTCTGTACTTTCTTAGGCCATTACTCCTGCACTGAATACGCTTCCCTCTCTCTAGTCTTGACTTGGTGGTTAGTTAGCCAATTTGATTCCACACTGTCGTTTGCTCTAGAATACCTCACCCTTATTTCTTCTCAAATCTCTGTCCTGAGCTACTTTCACCATCTACCTCTTCCACTCCTACTTACAATACTGCTTAATTGAGCTAGAGAAAGTCTCACAACCAGGCTGACTTGGGTGAACATTATACATTCAGGTTGTCCAGTAGCTCTCATTGCAACAAGGTTGTCCTTTTTCATTCCTCCCTAATTGAGTCCCTGTCTCACCTCTCAAAAGTCTTTCCCAAACCTAGAGTTTCTCACAGAAAACCACACCTTTTACTTTAGTGAGAAATTTGAGTCCATTCGGAGTGAGTCCTTTTTCTCCCTTTCTGTTTATCTGAATCCCCCTTAACATCTCCCTTACTCTTCTTTCCCCCAGTTTCTGACAGTGAAGTGGTCCTCCTCCTTGCTTTCAAAACCAACCTCTCTATGTGTGCATTGGGTCCATCTCGCCTGCCATCTTCTCCAGCAGATTATCACCCCCTTTCCCACTCGTCTTTCTATGTAATCTTTCCATATCAACTGGTTTCTTCCATATTGCTTTCAAACATGCAATCCTTCAAAAACTAGCTCCTATATCCTACCATTCCCTCAAGCTATTGTCATATATGTTCTTTCTTTTATGGCCAAATTCCTAGAAAAAACTATCTATACTTGCTGTCTCCATCTCTCCTCAACCCTTTGCAGTTCAGCTTCTGACCTCATCACTCAACTCAATTGTGTCTTTCTCTCTTTAGTTCCTGGCAAATCACTCATAAATCCTTCTGATGTTGTGATCTCTATGTATTAGCACAGGAAATGAACTTTCTTTCTATGCCATTGCTTCCCAATTTGTATAATGGGTGATAGATATTAGCACTTGCCTCTCCTCAAACTCCCAGTAGGGAAAGAGGATTTGTGAGCGTGAGCTTCAGAGGAACCAGCCCTCATAACTGTAATACAAAGTGATTTCCTCATCCTGATTATTCCTTGTAGCTTTCTTCCATTATTGTTTCAGTTATTTGCCTTTACCTTGAAAACATAGGAAAAAAGATTCTCTGTGTAAGCATTGTGTCATATGACTTAAGCACCCATGAGAACATGGAGAGTTTGTAGTTTAAAAGCCTGTGGTCTTTTAAGGTAACGGCTTTCGAGAGCTCGGGTTAGAGGAGCAGGAACTTTCTTACATTTGCAAATCTCCATGTATTTTTACTCATGTAAAAAGATTTAGTAAATGTCAGTTAATCGCTCAGTAGCAAAGGGCTGTGGCTGGTTGACGTGAGTGCGATATAGAGTCCTGAAATGCCTCAGGAAGCTGGATTGCTTCAGACAGCTCTCATGGGCTGCCTGGTTCTGACCTCCTAGAGCTTTTCATGCCTTCTTCCTGTCTCCATGTCCCCATCGCCGACATCTGGACCTTGGGCTAGCAACCAACCAAGTATTTATTAAGTATTTATTATGTGCGAGGTATCCTGGTAGGCACAGGACTGCAAAGATAAGTGGAACAGGGCCTGCCTGCCCTCAAGTAGCTTGCCACCAACAAAATGCCTGCCTGTAAGCAAGAGGGATTGGATCTCTGTCTTCCTCTCTCCCTCCCAATTGATATAGTCACAGAACATCTCTTTGACTTCTTAAACTGCCTCTGTGTCTTTAAAGATCATCCAGGGTATATAGCCAATCATTTTTTGTCTAATAATTTTGCTCCCTTCCCACTCAGTGAAGGGACACAGGCTTTGAAGAGGGATAACAAGAAGTTAACAAACACTTTCTGTCAACATTCTAATACCTTATTATCATTGATTACATGTTGTGACTTCCTTGACTAGACTGGGTTGGTGGAGGTACTAAATCTCCCCCCTTTATATATAAAATAAAGGTGAAGTAATTCATGAGTCAGGAAGACCTGAGTTTAAATCTGGCCTCAGACCCTGGACAAGTCATTTAACCATGTTGTCTCAGTTTCTTCATCTATAAAATGGGTGGGAGAAGGAAATGGCAAACCACTTCAGTATCTTTGTCAAGAAAACCCCAAATGGGGTCTTGAATAATCAAACATGACTGAAATGGCTGAACAACTACAATGACTCATGAGGAGAATGAACTAGCAGCTTAGGGAATCAGGAAAAGCTTCAGGTAGAAGGTAACACTTGAACTGAACTTTGAAGGAAAGCAGGGATTGTTAGAGGCAGAAGGAGAGCGTCTTGGACATGGGGGAGGGCCAAGGCAAAGGTACAGAAATAGGAGATTTTATGTTGTGCTTGAAAAGCAGATGGAAACTCATTTGTTTGGACATAGAGTGTGTGAGGGGGAGTAGTATAAAATAGGACGGGAAAAGTAGATTGAAGCTAGGTTGTGAGATATTTTAAATGCCAAAACAGAGGAGGCAAAAGGGAGCCACTAAGGTTATTGAGTAGGGATGTGCCATGGTGATACTTATGCATTATGGAAGTCACGTTGGCAGCTCTATAGAGAATGAGCCTGGAGGACTAATTAGAAGTCTATGGAAATAATCTGTGGTAGACGATGAAGTTCATGTGACTATAGAGGTGAAGGTCAGTGCAAGAGGTTGTGGAGGTAAAATTGACAAGACGTGGCAACTGGCCACAACTATGTGAATGAGAGAGAATCTGAGTTGGTGATGACAACAAGGATGCCAAGCTGAGTGACTGGAAGGTGATGGCACCCTATGTAAATGACTCCTACTACTTTCCCCTCTCAGTATCTGTCTCTCTGTCTTTCCTCTTCTTTTATCACCAACTGCCTAGTAGATATGTCCTATAGGTATCTCAAATTCAACATGTTTAAAATACAACTCATTATCTTCTCCCATAACCCACCTCTTGAAATCCTCCTTGGCTCTTTACCTTCTGCCACCTCCCATATCCAATTAATCGCCCAGTCTTGTTGATTATAACCTCTCGCATCCCCTTTCTACTCACATGGCTACCACTCTACCCAGAGCAGGCCTCTGTCACCTCTTCCTGGACTATTTCAGTCATGTCCTCATTCGTCATCATGCTTATCTCCTCCTCTACCTACCGTCTCTCCCTTCTCTCAGTTTTTCTCCATGGGCTTGTCAAAGTGATGTTCCTAAGACATAAAAGTAACCATGTCACTCCCTGCTTAACAAGCTCCAGTTGTCTCTTATGGGCCCTCGATGAAAATACATCCCCCTCTGACAATCTGCTTCATGCTATCTTTACTGTCTTATTACCCAATTCTCCCTTTCATGAACTTTCTGTCACAGCCTCTGTGCCTTTCCAACAAAGCTTAACTCAAGTACCATCTCCTAGAAGAGGCCTCATCTCCAGCTGCCAGTGATCACTTGCCAGTATTTTGTATTGACTTATGTGTACACAATTCCCCCAGTGGAATGTAAACTCCTTGAAGGCAGGAGCCATTTTGTTTTGTTTCCATCTTTGTATCTCCTAATGTCTGATGCATGACAGGTAATTAATAACACTTGCCTTATTGCTTAATCATACCTTTTCTCTATCATAATGAAATTCTGTACTGATAACAAAGCCAGCCTTGGCAAAATGGGAATTAGGAAAACTTGGTTCTTCATGTCTTTCTGGCTTTCCTTTTAGCACCTATTTTATTCAACTCCTCTAACCCTATGGAGACCTGTTCATTTTCTTTCTTGTCCCCCAAACTCTTGTAAGGTGTCCATGGCTGAAGCTCAAGCTGTGAGTCTTTCCAGGGGATTGGTATTTCTTTCATTATTCATGGAAATTAGCTCTAAATTAAGGATTTTACGTGCGGTGCCACTGGGGTGTGTGTGTGTGTGACATTTTTGCATAAGGAAACCTTCCCAGGCGTGCAGGTCTTGGCTCATGTTTAGGGTTAGCCCCATATACTAGATAGTGCAGAAGAAAGGAGACCATAAGGCCCCCTGAATGATTCTTGACTTTGCCAAGTTCTCCACGGTAAGGAGTGAAGAGCAGAACCATGACCCCGTGCTGCACAAAGAGCTTTGTGCGCTCTCCTGGGGGATTCTGGGAGTGAGGGACAGGTCGCCAGAAAGATTCTTTTGTCTCTTACTCACTTGGATCAGAGTGAACACAAACAACCTGTTTCTTTATTAATGCCACTCTCTTTTTTTTGCAGAGCTAGATTAAGCGCTGATTAAAGGTGAATGATTCCACAGTATAAATGTAAGTGCCTTCTCACATTACAGACTTTACTCTGAGATTCTTTAAAATCACTTTGGCTCTTTTCCCATTTGCCTCACACAGCTCTCTCCACCCCACCCAAGAGAGGACTCCAGGCTCCCTCAGAAAGGCAGCTAGCTCAGCTCCGAGGAGCATCTCAGCTCAGCTCCTGGGAGGCGTCTTTGGGGCGCCCTTGGGCTGCTGAGGACACAGGGAAGGGCCCTGGAGAGTCTCTGCTCACAAGGTAGGAAGAAGCTCAATCCTGTTGTATAGTTTTCCTTTTTTTCTCTTTCTTTTCTAGAAGTCCAGGGCTGGGAAGATGCACTTCTCCTTGGGTGAATAATACAGTCAGGAAAAAGAGGAAAATTCACTTTTTACTACTTCCCTTCCTCAAATCCAGAAGCAGCTTTAGCTATGTCTCAGTCCCTGGTGATGGTGAAAAAGACATGGTCCAGCTTGTTAGAGTTAGCTGGCTGACTTTTAGGAGTGAGAGACAGCTTTCTGTCCCCACTGATCCAGGCTCTCCTGTCCCCACCTAAGGGGAATATTATGCACATTTTCCAAACCTTGGATTGATTCATTATGACTAAATGACTTGGTCAGAAAAAAAATTCTCTCTTTTTGCTGTTTGAGGATCTAATAAACAACAGTCACTGCTCTGGAGTTCCTGTTTTAAACATTTTGTGTTAAGATTTATGTCTCTGATGACTTTGTTACTGTTATGTCTGTACGTGAAAACGAATCGAGCGTGTCCAGTTTGTGTGTAAGAGCGTGTCAGATGGAAGAAACTGTGGCCTGTCATCTCTGGCCTGATTGTTTTCGTTGGAGAGGTCAGTGGTAGCCACTGAAATATGTTTGCCTGATTTGTGAATGGAGGAGTCTGCTATCCTTGGGAGTCCTTGTCCACCTGATTCAGGAGGAAGAGGAGCTGGACAGCAGCTACATCCCATTGTTCTGCTCATGCATTCTTGTCTTTCCCCACCCTGTTGGGAATGTGGAAGCGCTGAGCCCAGGGTGGAATTTTGGGATTTGGAAAATTAAGATTCCTATGGGTATGCCTGTGAATTTTTTTTTTAAATCTATTGTTTATTGTTGCTTTCTTTGGGTGGTTGAGGTCAGGATAAAAAATAGCTTCTAGCTATTTGACCACACTGGCAGAACTCCTAGGGGAGAGAACCCCTAAATATATGTCTGAGTAAAGTTGCCTGAGCTTCCCACTCACATGTCAAATTACCCGGCTAGGGCGAGGTGACATTTCTCACTGAGTTAGCAGTCTTTTTCATTCCCTCCTTTCCTGGGGACATGGGAAGTAGGTGTTTGGATTGAAAAGGCCTCTTCTACAGATGGAGGCAATGTTTTTCTATATATAATAGAGATAATGATGTATAACTAATTTTTAAAAACCGAAATGATCCCTCTTTGATCACTGACAGTATTTTTCTAAAAGTTCTAGTGAATTTGCTTTCAGACTGGACTATCAGGAGAAAATTGACTGAGGCTGGCTGTAGCTTTTGGGCTCGATACACACATATATACATATGAACACTTGGCAGGGAAAAGTTGAGTGCAAAGAGAATAACAGCATTCAGAATAAAAATTATGCTTTGTGCGACAGAGTAGAAAAACTGAATTCTGATGAAGGGAGAAAGTGCCTAGCCAAGTCTCCTGCCTCCAACTGTAGTTGGTGCTTTGTTAAATGTTCAACAACCAGCTCTCCGAAAAAAATGTGCTCACTATACGCTTTTAAGATTAATGTGCATCATGAACATTTTCTCCATTAATTTCTTAAGGCTAAACAATCAATAAAATGACAAATCAAGCCCTGTGTGTAGTGCATTGATTTCCCAAAGTGTAGGAGCTCACAAGGAAAATTTAATAATCATTTTAAGATTACAGCATACCCCAGAATTGTAATAGAATGTAATGGTTTACAAAAAGACGGATACGAATACACTCTCCTCCAATACATATTGTGATTGTTTTATGCATTATGAGTCCATACAATTAAAATTTTTCACCCAATCTAGATTACAGTAGGTGTAGTATGCCAACATACCAGGTCATTCTCTCTCCCTTCTCAAAGAGTTCAGTACCTGATTCACCATCTTCCTTGCCCCAACTTCCATTGGGGAGTTTAATATTCACATACCCTGAAACCTCTAATCTCCCAATTCTTTAGCCTCTTTAAATTCCACGACCTACTTCTTCACTCCACCTCAGCCATACATAGGGATGGTCACACACTGGGATCTTATTATTACCCATCAATGTTCCGCTTCCCAAATTAGAAACTCTGACATTCCTGATATCTGACCATGACTTCTTATCATTCCTCCTCTTTCTATGTCTCATTCCTCCTCTTTCTATGTCCCATTCCTCCTAGATCTGTCCTTTCTTCCATAAGATATCCATTGCCCCCACCCCTCAGTGATTTCTTAGACCACTCTTGCTCTGACCTCACTTCCTACCTTTCCAACCTCAACCCAATAGTTAGCTGGTCTGACTCTACTTGAATCTCTCATCCTCTTGTCCTGTTGCTACTTCCTGTTTCCTAACCTCAGCCTTAGATTGTTCCTACCATCTTCTTCCTCACAAGTCCCTGAATGTAGCTTGAGATGGTCTCACAATGGTGCTGACTGGATACATTATAAATTCATGTTATCCAAACTCTACAGCAAAGCAGTCCTTCTGTTCCTTCATGTCCGGTTTCTTCTCTCCTATCAGAAGCTATTTCAAACCTTATCTCCCCCCTCCCCCCCCCTGCCCCAAACCTTTTCCACCCTTTCTTACTCTCTTCAGCTTAGGACCTTGTCTTGTATTTTATGGAGAAAACGGAGGCCATTTGATGCAAGCTCCCTTTTTCTCTCTTTCTTTGCATCTCAAAACCCTTTGACAGTATGTCTTTCTTTTACTTTCTGACAAAGAGGTGGCCTTTCTCCTTGATAAGGCAAGACCTTCTACGTGTGTGTGTGATTCCACACCCTTTTCTCCTGTCTAGCAGACTACTCCATTGATCATCTTCTCTCTACCTGGCATCTTTAATCTCTCCCTATCAACAGGTCCCTTCCCTAACTGCATTCAAACATGCCCAAGTCTCTCTCATCCCCAAAACAAACAGGCCTTAAAGAAATCTAAAAACAAAAACATCTTGGCTAGATCTAAGCATCTCCTTAAACTATTGTCCTCCACTCCTCTGTTTGGCTTTTAAAGCCCTTTACAGCCTGGCCCCAGCCTCTCTCTCCAGCTTTATCGGACATCCCTGCCCCTCTTACACTCTGTGATCCAGCCAAATTGGCATCTCTGTATTCCTCAACACATGCCACTCCATATCCTGGACCACTAGCTTTGCATACTCCATCTCATATGCTTGGAATGCCCTCCCCCCTCCCTGCCACCTCATACAGTCTCTTTCATCCTTTCAGATTGAGCTTAGGGACCATCTTCTTGATGGAAACTTTTCCTGATTCACTCCAATTGTCCTTTCTCCCAAATTAGCTTGTATTTAACTTGTGTGTATTTGTATGTGCACATGTGTGTATTTGTATGTATACCCTACATCTTTTCCTATGTACCTCTCATGTTAGCCACCAACTGAGCACCCCTTGTGAACAGGGACTATTTTTTTTTCTTTTGTACTTATACCCTCAGTGCCTAGAACACAGCCTGGCACATTAATAAACACTTACTGGTTGATTGATTGGTAGACAATCTGCTGAAGTTTCTTAAAAATAACTAAAAACAACAAACTGGTATTTCTTAAAAAAAACCCAATCATTAACTGGTGTCCAGTCTTCTGTTGATGACCCTCTCCATACTTAGCTTGGTTGGTAAAGCTATTCGTGTTTCTTGTAGGACATGCCAAGTTTTGCATTCTGCTCTCTTAGGAACAATTTTGTGGTATAATAAACCACCAGAACATGAATTTTCCCACAGAACAGAAATCCCATTTTTTTTTGGTTTTGACAGATAGCCAATTTGTGTGATGTGAATTGCTTTTCTGTGGTATTATTGCCTCTTTCATGGCTGGAAGGCTGTAATTGTTATTAAGAAAGTTCTTGGGGCAGCTAGGTGGCACAGTGGATAGAGCACCAGCCCTGAAGACAGGAGGACTTGAGTTCAAATCCGGCCTCAGACCAAACACTTGACACTTACTAGCTGTGTGACCCTGGTCAAGTCACTTAACCTCAATTGCCTAAAAAAAAAAGTTCTTAGGGTGAGACACTATTTGCCATCTTGTCATTTTTATCCAGATGTCCTAGACTTACTTTTTAAAGTTACATGAACCAATTGCTTTGTTTTACTTGTTCTTAGATGTATTCTTTCTACCTTTTTTATTTTTGTTGGAAATACTATTTTCAGAGAAAGTATTTATTCTAAAATCTATGGTTTCTAGTTTTTAAACTATATTTACTGAGGAGTCGTTATGTCCATGAATTCATAAATCCAGTGACTTCCAAGCAAAAAGCAGCTGCCACATTCATATCTTCCTAACTGGAGAAATGATGTGTATGAGTGTGTGTGTGTGTGTGTGTGTGTACATATGTATATATATGCACACATACAACAGATGGGGCTTAGGGCCTGCCTACCTTGGAAGGTGGCTAAATCACAGAATCAAGGGTTCTTGGAGTTTGCAGCAATCCATAAATCATTTAATCTAACCTGGAGAGCAAGTGCATAGGTTTGCTGAAACTTGGATTGTGTGAAAGGGCTAGAGTTTGGTGGTGAAAGGTTTTAAATGCCAGGCTGGGGAGTTTGTATTTTATGCTGGAAGTAATAAAGAGCCACTTAAGATTTTATAGCAAGGAAATGATAATCTCAACAACAATAACAACCAGAAGCATTTATTAAGCACGTACCATGAGTCAGGTACTGTGTTAAATGCTAGGGATACAAAGAAAGGCAAAAGATAGACCTTGTTCTCAGGGAACCCACAGTCTAGTGCAAACAACCAGGTCCAAACAAGATGTATATAGGATAAATCAGAGGTAATCAACAGAGGGGAGGTGCTAGTGTTAAGGGGAATTGGGAAAGGCTTCTTGTAGAAGATAGAATTTCAGGTGGTACTTGAAGGAAGCCAAGAAAGCCAAAAGACAGATAAGGAAGGAGGACATTCCAGGCATGGAGGACATTGAGTGAAAATGTCTAGAGGTGGGAAATAGAGTATTGTGGGCAAGAAAAAGCAGGGAGGTCAGTGTCATTGGATTGCACAATACATGAAACAGAGTAAGGTATAAGATGACT